CATGATATAGATTTTATCAACATCTCTATAAATGAGTCTTTGATAATATAAATATAAAGAGGAAGAAGTAAGTTAGAGAGATGTAACCTTATTTAAAAGACAATCCTCCCACACTTTGATGTAAGAAAATTCTTTATCTCCGGTTTCCGTTGTCGTACACTCATTTTCACGTAGGGATGTGTCATGGTAGTTTTCGGGAATGTTCTTGATTGTCGAGTCTACTGTAAAACATTGGATACATGTAAGTTTCACTGTCAGTTTGGAAGAAACTAAACTTTAATAGAAACACACTAGAAATGAGTTTCGATATTAAAATATCATTTAACTTCTATTTATCTAAATAACTGAACAAGTATACACTTAGACACAATGGTGATTCAATATGTGTTATTATAACCTTACGAAATACTAGGAATGTTGTAAACCCAAGGACTGCAAGCATCTCGTGTGTTCAGCTACTACCATGTAGATCAACTGATACAACAGCTCGTGGTTCAGTGTCTTATAGTTGATAAAAGGCTTAACTGTCTGGTATCAGTTTCATAGAAGAGTCCTGTCACGAGTAAACTCGAACAAAGTTTCTAAACTTCATAATAATGATTATCATATTTTTATTAGGGTAATAAATCTCATACCGCTTAGGGCACAACTTTTAAGTAAACATATAGAGACACGGAGATATCGCGGTATCAGTACTCTAACCCAGCTGAAGGTTTTATTTCGCAAACTTTGTTGGCATCGTATGTATCTCAGCAAGGATTCTTGTAATACACGCAAAGGCAAATAACCATTTTAGTTTAGGGTTTCAGGGGCCTAATAGAGTAAAGGCGAATTAAGGATTTGCTTTTAATGGTGTATTGCTAGAACATCGAGTAAAAGTTACTTTGTTAATGGGTAAATCTAAATAAAATCATAACACGTGTACTGAACATACAGCTCAACTCGTGCTATGGCACCGGTAAACTTTCAAATATTCTTCTGTGTGTGTTTGTTGTTAAGCCTAAACTACTCCTTGGGCTATCTGGCCTGTGGTCACTGCTGGGATCGAGCCCCGAAACTTAGCGTGATACGCTCCCAAACATTTGAAAGTTGTGTTCTGAAACGGAAAAAGTATTCTTGAAATAACTTTTTAAGATTCTAAAGCATTTAGATGAAAATTATTTACGTTTTATCAGAATGCTTAAAGCGCCCTTTAGTGAGGTTTGTTTGAAGTTAAGCACAAAGCTGCACAATGGGCTATCTGTGCTCTGCCCACCATGGGTATCGAAACCCGATTTCTAGCGTTGTAAGTCCGCAGGCATACCGCTGTGCCACTGGGGGGCTTTAGTGAAGGTTTGTTTGTTTGTTTGAAGTTAAGCACAAAGCTGCACAATGGGCTATCTGTGCTCTGCCCACCATGGGCATACCGCTGTGCCACTGGGGGGCTTTAGTGAAGGGCAGTGTTAGAAATCTCCTAGTTTCTTATCTGTTTTTTAACGAGTAGATTATCTAATTTTCTGAGTGATATTTTAAACTATTAATTCTACGGTCAAGTTTACTGTTTACGTCTACTTGGTACATTATTTCACTTTTTACAGTTTAATATTAACGTGAAATAAGTAACAAAACAAAAACGACTTTAAAATCATTTTGCAGATCGACTTTATTTCTTTCAAGCATAAGAATGTATATTTAAGTGTTCTATCTGAAGTTTACTGCGGACCTGTGAAATTTTGCTAGGGTTTCTTTCTTTTTTTTTGTTTGACCTATGACCTTCTACCGATGATAAAGAAGTGCTCAGATGGTCAAAACAACGGTCAACAACAGTGACCATTACGTCAACTGTAATTTTCTCTCTAATTAGAAATCATTAAGAAGATGATTAATTTGTCTGGGAAATATTTTTTCGCAATGTCACCTAGAAGAAAGGTAATGGTTTCAATGTTCATTAAATAGATCTAATAACAAAAATATAACATTATTATTAGAATTGATCTAATAACGAAATTATAGCATCATTATTAGAATAGATCTAATAACAAAAATATAACACTATTATTAGAAAAGATCTAATAACGAAATTATGGCATCATTATTAAAATAGATCTAATAACAAAAATATAACATTATTATTAGAAAAGATCTAATAACGAAATTATAGCATCAAATTATTAAAATAGATCTAATAACGAAAATATAGCATCATTATTAGAATAGATCTAATAACGAAAATATGGCATCATTATTAAAATAGATCTAATAACGAAAATATGGCATCATTATTAAAATAGATCTAATAACGAAATATGGCATCATTATTAAAATAGATCTAATAACGAAAATATATCATCAGTATCTCTAATTAACGCTTCAATTTATCTTTGCAAAGACAGAACTTTGTATATGCTTTAATTATGTAAAAAAATAGCTTTATATTTACCAAGCTGTTGAGCTAAAAAAACAACAACAAGATTTCAGCAAATATTTTTGTATAATTTATAGAAATTTGGATTACTTCTGATTAAAACATTTTATGAAGTTTTTTATATACACCAATTGGATTGATAAAGGACATGACCTTCAGCTAAGTTACTTTTCTCAGCTGAAACGATGATTATGACGTCGTAATCACGTGGTTTGTCGGATCCATAGAAGAGTTCAGAGACTTTTGAAGCCTTTGAAGATGTTGGAGTAATAATAGAAATTGACTGTTTTGTTCTCTAATAAGGGTTAATGTTAATAATGATATATTTCTTAACTAACCGGAACTTATCCTATTGGTAATACATGAAAGATTGACAAATACTTTCTTGGAAGGCCGATGACGTAACTAATACAAATAAATCGTCTATTCCCAGCCCGTAAGTCACAGTGTCTCCATCTAGTGATAACTAGTGAAAATAATTTATCTGAAGTCGTTGAACTTTAATCATATCTTTCAAGATATAACGCATTCGTGTGTCTAACTCTGTAAATAGTGTCTATCATTAAGTTATCCTTTTTAGTTATTAGTTTACAATGAAAATTATAAATTTTAAGTCTTTTTTTAAATCATTTAGAATCCTTTCGAGCAACACACTTGGAGATAATACATAAACATTTTTTTGTTTTTGTTTTAAAACTCAGTCTTCAATTCAAGGCCGAAAGTCGAGGCCAAGGTGGAGAGCCTTTTAGGCCGAGACCAGTGTCGTGATCGCTCCATTTGTTTGTTGTTAAGCGTATAGCTACAGAATGAGCTATCTGCCCACTGCAAGAATCGAAACTCGATCTTTATTTTATAAGCCCACAGATTTATTTCTGGGCCACTGGAGGGGGCGATTCGTTTGGTTCAAAAACTGTAATACGCAAGCTTAATGTTTTTTTGTCTGAGCTGCCATTATCGAAGAATAGTAAATTAATGATGGTATTTATTCTATAGACATCCAGTGTGGTCTCTCCAGAACGGAACTAGAAATATTTGTACATAAATGTAGCGTATATTAAGATTTTTTTATAGTGTTAATCACTGTGTTTTTTTGTTTTGTTTTTTTTTCTAAATACCGTGCGCTGATTGGCCAGAGCGAGAAAAGCTCGTGTTGTAGTTCGGGCTGATTGGCCAGAGCGAGAAACGTTCGTGTTGTAGTTCGGGCTGATTAGCCAGAGCGAGAAAAGCCCGTGTTGTAGTTTGGGCTGATTAGCCAGAGCGAGAAAATCCCGTGTTGTAGTTTGGGCTGATTAGCCAGAGCGAGAAACGCTCGTGTTGTAGTTTGGGCTGATTGGCCAGAGCGATAAAAGCTCGTGTTGTAGTTTGGGCTGATTGGCCAGAGCGAGAAAAGCCCGTGTTGTAGTTCGGGCTGATTAGCCAGAGCGAGAAAAGCTCGTGTTGTAGTTCGGAAACTGCCAAACACTTCTCGAAGTTTAATTTTACTGAAACATTTTTTTTCCCAATTGCACTTCCCTTGTGTCTTAAAGACCTGTAAGGGTGTGATGGGTTCAACCGGGTCGGGTGGGTTCCACCTCTTCCTCCTTTTTTCCAATCAATCAACATTTAGACATTTTTCGAAAGTTATCAGACATGACACGAGACAAGTTTAAAACCACCCGAGTTTTCGGACCGAAGATAAGACTCGATAATATTATTTCTAACCATGCAAGGTGTTGGCTCTTTTCTTTTCTGAAATATTATTTTTAAACAGATACTTTTGGTATGCACTGTATATTCGAATATACAGAACATGTTATCTGTCTCGACATGAACACGTGACTTTTCCATGCCAATCAGTGATAAATCCTCTCCACAGTATCTGGTACTAGATTAAAGTGTTATGTGATCTTACCATAGATCGGTCCTTTGTTTTCTTCACAGAACCACACAAAAATAACAGGCTTCTAACTATTAACACTAACTTTAGAAAATAAAAATAGGATCAATTTGTTAAGCCTAATTAATGTCATGACAAGTCACGCGTGTTTGGCAGAAGAAAGAAGCGTGATAATTTATGTTTCTGTCTGTAGACCACCGACTTTTGGACTCAGCTGATCATTGATTACAAAATTAGCAACTTACGTGTTGGGAGAATGCCTTCAATACCGGCCATCTTGCTATTGTTCACTCAGTCGGACTCCTAGTGTTCTTACAAATATGAAGGTCTTTAGATCGTGAACTATATATGTTTCTGGAATTGGTATTTTCAGCCTCAACGGCACAGCTACGGTTAGGTTAGAAACTACTGACCAGAAGCTAGTAACACCCACCACCACGAGAGTTTTGTTCAGTCTTAAGAACCGAATAAAGGTATTGACTGTCATTTTTATAACGTGTCCAGAGCTGAAAATGCGTAGAGTATTCAGAAACCTGTAGGTCAACACGGTAATCACTAAGTCACTTTTTGTTCAGGTGATTTGTAACCTTGTCTGTTTTTGAAAGTCACTTTGGGTGGTTGTGGACGTATGGAGCTAACAGTGGTGTTCATACTGGCCGAAAGGCATGTCTATCAGGCTCTGGATACACATTATGTTTGGAGATATACGTGTATATCCTAACCGTACCATGGTTGACATAACAAACGACCTTGCCAGTATCTTTCTCTACACACTGTTTATAATCTGGATAGTCAGCCCATGCATGTCCAACACACTCTTTTTTTCTAATTCTTCGTTGATGTTTTCTCAATCTGATGATTCATTAGACTCTGCATCTTTGTTATCCGGAAACTTCACAATCAACTGGGTGTCATATCCATCTGATTTTTTACCCCGGGTAATTAACTCTCTGTCATACCATAGCCGGCGTATTACAGGCCTAGTCGAACTGAAACTCCTGCAAGACACTCAGATTTATTCATTTCTTCCATGACTTACAGCAATGGACAGTCTAAATATATCCTTGTGTTCTTCTAACCAGCCTGATGTTTGTACGTATTACAAGATAATTTAATACTACGCAGAAACTACATTAGTTATCACTTATCTAAAGATAATAAAGCATAAACATGAATACTCGA